TGTGGTGATAATCTGGGCTTTTGGATCACTTTAAAACGGTGCTTCTGTAAAGCCAGAAAACATCAGTTGGTAATTTATTTATTTGTTCCCAATGTTTCCTACGGATTGTGTTGAAAACACAGACACCCAGGACCAAGGGTAGGGTTCATCCCACCATGATGATGGGAAGCGGTTGATGCGTGGACTCCAGGGATCCTGTGTCCTGATAGAAGGCTCTCACTTTCCAATTAGCAGGAAGTTATGTTTCCCAGCCCCTAGGAAAGCGTAGGGGTTAAGGAGAACTCAAATCTGGGGCAGTTACAAATCTGCCCGTATGTGCATGACAGTTTGAATCAATTGGTCATCTACCAAAATCTGGGGAACAAGAGAAGCTTTAGGAAATGGGCTGGGCGTGGTGGCTCATGCCTGTAATCCCTGCACTTTGGGAGGCCGAGACAGGCAAATCACCTGAGGTCAGGAGTTCGAGACCAGCCTGGCCAACATGGTGAAACCCCGTCTCTACTAAAAAAAAAAAAAAAAAAAAAAAAACACACACACACAAAAATGAGCTGGGCGTGGTGGCATGTGCCTGTAATCCCAGCTACTCGGGAGGCTGAGGCCAGAGAATTGCTTGAACCTGGGAGGCAGAGGTTGAAGTGAGCTGAGATTGTGCCACTGGACTCCAGCCTGGGCGAGAGAGAGACTCTGTCCCGGGAAAAAAAAAAAAAAAAAAAGAAAAAGAAAAGAGTAAGATTACAAGCAAGTAAAGAATATAAGTCCTCCCCCACTTTTTTTTGCTCCTTCATGGGTATGGCTGCATCCTCTGCTCACTGGTTTGAGGTTGAAGTAACCAACATACATAATCACCCTGTTACTGTTTTTCCATGGGCAGTTGAAGCCCTGGCCTCCACTGCAGTTTTAACATCACACCCAAGAGTCTAAGGTACCCCTGGATGGAGCAACGTAACTAGAGACATTAATCGTACCTACCCCTGGATAAGTGACAAATGCATTGTGAAGGTCTGATATCTGTGGCTCAGGATGCTTAGTAGCACTGGGTTCGAGGGCATGGATGACACAGGTCCATATTCCCCCACCCGTACTTAGTAGCTGTGTGACCTGGGGCAGGTTTCTTAATGTTTGGGACTTTCGATTCCACATTGGTTAGATGGAAATATTATAATACTATATATTGTAAATAGTACCCGTCAAACACTTAATGTGGACCAGGAACCCTCACAAAATGTTTGCTATTGTTTGTTGTTGAAAGGTCACTATGATGATGGCCCAAAATCTTGAACTGCAGGTTTGTTATGTTCCTGCATTGTTTGTGCTGTGAACATGTTGCTATTTATTACAGCGCAGTTGTTGAGACTGGGTGTTGGGAGCCGTGTGATTTGATTCAGCTCCTAACTCTGTCACTTGCTCTTTGACCTAGGCAAAAAACTCTGGGCTTCAGTCCTCTGTCTTTTTATTTTATTTTATTTTATTTTATTTTATTTTATTTTATTTTATGTTACTTTTCAAGATGGAGTCTCGTTCTGTCACCCAAGCTGGAGTGCAGTGGCGCAATCTTGGCTCACTGCAACCTCCACCTCCTGGCTTCAAGCGATCCTCTTGTCTCAGCCTCCCAAGTAAGTGGGACCACAGGTGTGCACCACCACGCCTGGTTAGTTTTTGTATTTTTAGTAGAGATGGTGTTTCTTCATGTTGGCCAGGCTGGTCTCGAACTCCTGACCTCAAGTGGTCCACGTGCGTTGGCCTCCCAAAGTGCTGAGATCACAGGTATGGAGCCATGGTGCCCGGCCTCCCCTGTCTTTAACTGGGGATAATGTGTGCAGAATTCCCCCTAAAGGATCTGTCATGCATAGGGTGGACCCTCACAGAAAGCATTAAAGATACACGAATCTCTTAGCCGGAGGCTGCCAGGTGGCACTAAATCAGAACTGAATCAATGAGAATTATGTTATGAAGTCATTTACTTGCTTGAGACTCAGTTTTCCTATTAATACAGTGAGACTGTACTCACTTTGTGGGCTCTTGCAAGAGTTCAGCTAAAATTCTCCACCTTGCCACCTAGAACGTGCCACAGAAGGTATCCTGGCCCCTGCATGGGATTCATACAGGAAAAGGACTGCCTTGTAAAGTCATTTGATTAGGGATCCAGAGGGTGTACTGGCAGAGGACAGATTTTCAGCCCCTTCACAATTCAAGGGCCAGCTACACAACTGGCTTGTGTTCCTCACTGACACCTCCCTGGGTAGCAAGGTGCATTTGTGCGCCTTCCCTTTGCCAGGCATTTCTAAGAGGATGAATCCTAACAGGTGTGGCAGGCAGAGGGTGGGGGCAGGGAAAAGAATAAGATGTTCCTTGGTGTACCCCATTGTCATGAGTTAATCATTTCTCTAAACTGTGGGGGTGGAGTGTTCCAACTTCAGTCGGCTTGTCATGAGACTGCCCTGGTGGTTGCTGCCAGAGGACCCACAAATGCCAAGTTCCTAACCTGAGCCCTGCCAGCCTTCAGGACCTCCTCTGCATGAAGAGCAATTGGCAGAAGAGAACACGGTAGGGGAGGCACCGTAGACCTCTTCTGGTCTGTACTGTTCAAAATCACATGACATCCCCCAGAGACCTGGTGGGAAGCCAGGGATTTAGGCCCTAGAAATGGAGCTCAGAAAGGAGGAGAAAGGTCCCTGATGGTCTGTGGAGAGGGGCTTAGCCACCAGAGGGATCAAATGGCTCAGGCAGGGAATATGTATCCCCTTCTCAGATCTGAGGGCAGATTTTCAAATGTATGCATGATTCTGGGGTGCTACAAAGGGTATAGAGTATGGAGTCAGAACATTACACACCAACAAGAATATGGGTTTTGAACCCGGACCTCAGTTTGAATCTGAGTTCCAGCACTGCCCCGTTGCTTGGCCATCAGTTACTTCACCTCCTTTAGCCTCTGTCTCCACTCACTATAGTAATACCTGCCTGGTGGGAAGTCAGGCTTTTGTGAGAATCAGAAGTAATAATAGGTCCTTGGCACTTAAGAGACTCTCAGTAACCAGCAGTCATCACCACCGTCGTCGTTTTTTTTTTGGCCATTACAGTTGGGATTAGACTAACCGTCCCTAAGCAGCTATTAAGCATCACACTCCCTGGACAAAGACATGAAAAACTCAGGATGATTCGGAAGGGAGATCTAGAAATGGTGAAAGCACTGGCGAGTGCCTCTGTGTGTATATTGTACCTGGGCTCGGTGATCTGGCTAAAGGAGAGGTACTGGGGCCAGGTGACAGCAAGTCTCTATATGGCAGGCCCACAAAATGGAGGTGCAGGCTTCATCTGTACTTTGATGTGTATGCTTCCTTCTTTAAACTTGTAATAATCAGAGTTATAGCTGCTTTTGAACTGTTGTGTGCCCAGGAAATGGCCAACTGTTATCACTCATCCTTACAAGAACCACATGAAGGGTATATTATTATATCCACTTTCCAGATGAGGAGACTGAGGCTCAGTGGCTTGTCACAGGTGTTAAAGACAGGATTCCAATGTAAGGACTTCTGGCTTCAGCACAGGGGATTTTCCTACCATCCCATATTGCCACCCCATCTGCAAAAATACCTGGATCTTTCTTCCTCCTGCTGCTTCTCAGTTCCCTCCAGGACTGAAGAGATGATATTGATTCTCGCTCGATAGAGGTTAGAAAGGGACTCTCCCTTCCCTAGCTGAACAGAGAGGGTTTCTTTTTTCTTTTCTTTCTTTTATTTTTAAATGGGAAACTTACAGGGAATAAGATCTGTTTCTTCACTTGCTTTGCAAGAGAGTTGGATTTGTACACATTGCCTGAGCTGGCTCGGTTTTCTAAAGACCTAACTTTGCAGCATTCTTCAAGGGCTCCAGAGAGTCCCTTGTGCCATCAAATTAAGTTTGGAAACTTCAATAAAAAAGTCCCGAAGGAAACTGTCAATTAATGCATTTACACTGAAGCATCATACTTGGGAAAAACATCTTCAAACGCAAACGCTGTTTTCCAGCCATTAAAAAGTTTATGCGCTGCTTGGTTTCCATGGATACCTGAGGTAATAGCCTCCTTCCTCTCATTGAAGAGTAAATGTTGCTCAGTTACTTTTTCCCTTTTCTTTTTTTTTTTTTTTCACTTTTGTCTTTCAGACTTTTTTCTTCCATCCCTATTTATGAAAACAAAAAGATAACTAAATTGAAACCTGGCAGTGTAATTTGTCAGAGGAAGGCACCCTGTTTTATAAGCTCAGGTGATTTCATTTTTGCTCACCTGTTTATTTCATGACACTTGCAGGAAAGAGAAGGAGAATTTTCATTTGATCAAATCATTTCCATGGTCCATCAAACACACAAATTAAAAAGGGAAATGTTAGCAGTCTTTAAAAAGAGTCTTGATTGTGTATAGAGCAGAGATTGGCAAACTACGGCCTGCCGGCCAAATTTGGCCCACTGCCTACTTTTTATAAATAAAGTTTTATTGGAATACAGACACGTTCATTTGGGTAGACATTGTCTGTGGCCAGTTTCACAACAATAGCAGAGTTGAGTGATCGTGCCAGACATTATACAGACCACAGAGCCTAAATTACTTAATCTCTGGCCCTTTGCAGAAGTAGTTTACTGACCTATTACGTAGGGGAAAGAATGAGGGCTTCGGTGGCATTTAGTAGTGTTGTCACTTTTGTCATTGGTCTTGACTCAGTGTCTGTATTGTTGAGATGGAAATGATGGGACCCTCAGTAGTGTTTTGAGATAGAAGGCACACAGTAAGGGAACAACGAATAGGAATTACATTCCATCGAGATTCTTTTGCTAGAAGGATACAAAGAAACCTACTTTGTGATTCTAGATGTTTTTTAGGAAACCCGAAGTATGAAAAAATCCAAACCAAGTAGTTCCACTATTGTTCCCGGGTCTGTGCGTGCTGCGTGTCTTTCCTGGGAGAAGGTCAGAGCTGGAGTGGGGCACTCCATTCCGGCAAGACAAGGCAAACAATAGAGGCCACAACAGTCTAGGAAGAAATCTTTAATTTCTATTCAGCTTTAAAGAGTTTGAGAGAGTTATTTCCCCTCTGTTAACAAACGAGTTCAAGTACATGCCTTCATATTATAAAAGTACCTGAAATTGCCTAGAATTGCAGCATGCATAGCTTGTTAGTATTTACATATATTTACATAGGGAAACAAGAGAAAGATCTACAGTTATTTACAGTCTACGTAGGGGAAGATAAAGGCAGCCTAATTGTATTTCCTAAAATACAGTAGATGAGTAGTCAGCACATGCATATTTAGATAATATTTGCATGATAGAATGCAAACTTTAAAAAAGACATACCTTTGTAACTTTCTATGCTAAGGTGTTGCATAATCAAGGTTAATTTTTTTTTGTTCGTTTTGTTTCTAGTCTATTTGCATCAAGTGCTTTAAAATGCTCACTAACACCGAGGCAGAATTATTTCCCCGGGCAATTAAAGCAACAGCACACACGATCATTTCCTACTAACTAGCAACACGCTGCTGGTGAATGAAATATCTATTGTTTCTCATTACCCATCGACCACTGTGAAGAGATCTCTCTCTGTAAAGGCAGTACCTAAGCTATCACCATTAATTATGGAAGTAATATAAATGAGATGCTCGCCACAGTATGTTCTAAATGAAATATTAACAAGGCCAGCGTCTTGGAGCCTGAGAAATGGTCTGTTCCAGTGAGCTCTCTATGGAAATCCACACACCTAACGCAGTCATGCCCGATTTGAAATAGCGGGGCTGGACATTGGGGGCTTTGCCTGTGAGATCTGAATTATTGCAAAGTACATCCTCTGAATTTGTTTCTGGAAGGCAGAGTTAAGAGTTCATTCCTTACCATGATGTGGCCCCAGCAGAGACCTTGTGTGTGTTTTTTTTTTCTTCAGTGCTTTTTCAGACTATGTTATAGAATACTTAAGGGGCATATGTGCAAACGAACTGTCAACCTTAAAATCTAAACAAACAGCTTGTTTGTGGTTTGTCCTGAAATCCTGCCTGCTCACAAAACAACCAGCTACTTGGTTTTCTAAAAGACGTAATTTGGCAGGCAGACTTCGTAGAGCCATTCTGTGCAGAAGAAGGGAAGGGGGAAGCTGTTTGTTTCACCTGTACTATGAAGATATTCTTTGCGCTATTAGAACTGAGCTCATTAATTCTGCCTGTCAATAATTTCAAAGGCTTATTTCAGCGTACATGGCGAATACAGATGCATACATTTATACGCAGTCCACGAGCTAGCTATAACCATAACAGAGGTTAAAGAAGTAGAGTAAAAGTGTAAAAATGTTTCAAATAAACATACACTAAGTATCTTCTTTGATCTCTTATAAACACTCAGCAGTCCCTCAGCACGGGCATCAAGATGGCCCAGTTGGAAAAGTTCAGTGACATGCCATCAGATTTGTTCCATGTAGAAGGATGACACTATCAGTTAGATGCTTATTTTGGTGGCAAATCTTTTTTTTTTTTTATGTTCTAGGGTACATGTGCACAACCTGCAGGTTTGTTCCATGTGTATACATGTGCTGTGTTGGTGTGCTGCACCCATTAACTCGTCAGTTACATTAGGTTTATCTCCTAATGCTATCCCTCCCCCCTCCCCCCCACCGCACAACAGGCCCCGGTGTGTGATGTTCCCCTTCCTGTGTCCAAGGGTTCTCATTGTTCAATTCCCATTTGCTGGCAAATTTCTATGGCACTTCTGCTTGGCCATTTCAAACTAACCATGGAAGAATGGATACCCCAATGCAATTTTTCATCCCCATTCAGAAAGAAACTTCTTAGAGCAAAGAAACTTCTTTGAGCAGGCAGCATCAGAGGGAATGCCTAGGGAATTCTTCCATGGATATAAGACATCATCGACAATACCTTCTCTTAGTTCCAATGAGACAGCCTCTCAGGTCCAGTCAGTTCTAGAACACTTTGGGCAGGCACAAATGGAAGATGGAACAAGCGTGCATGCAGTCACCCACATGGATTGCTCTGAAGCCATTTCTTTTTCCTTCCCTCGTTAGGAGTACCCTCACCCCAACCCCAGCAAAGCATGTCTTGGGTCTCACAATAACAGCAGGTCTCAGAAAGATAAAATAATTCTGAATGTTACGACTCGTCCCTTTTAAGACTAGACATCCATCTGTCACAGATCCTTTGGAATGTCGATGGCAAGAATTCTGGAACACGGAGGAGGTACGAAAAGGGCTTCATTCATTTCATGGAAAAGCTCAGAACAGTTTGTCAACTTGGAAACACAGGCCCTGACAGCGTAGCAAGGTCACCCTGCCCTTCAATCCTGCTGATAGCCCAAGTTAACATCCTCCCATGCCTTGGCCTTCCCAGAACAAACATGGCTTTGGACGCCTTTGGAGGGTTGGGACTGGCTGCGTATTTTTCTCTAAAACTTAAGTTTTAGGAAAGAATTCTTTCCAGCTTTCCATCCTGAACCTGCAGGTCTCCAGGCTCATTCCTGCAAATATTTCACAGAGGAGTAAGAGCCACATTCCTGCTGGCTTTCCAACTCATTCTACTCTCGTTTTCAAGTCAACCTCTTAAAACTCCTTAGTGATCTTGCAAGAAATTCATGTCTTTTGTCAGGGAGAATGGCGTGGCCTTTGTATGACACTTCCCTTTAGCCAGACTCGGATTTGGGGGCGTCATATTTGGGATGCCTGCACGGCTAACAGGAAAGGGCCCAGGACAGCTCACAGGTTCTCTCTGAACAGAAGGCTGTGAACACGTGGCTGTCATTTGAAAGCTGCATGGCCCTCTTCCCCCTGCATGCGTTTCGCTCAAGGTGTCCCTTGTAATTTGTGGTGGTGGTCTGTGCTTGAACCTGTTGCACTTATGGTGATGGACTGGCACTTCACTCTGTGCCACTGCCATCGAGCCCCCCTCATAGACACTGTCCCCAGTGTCACTTGGGGATTGACACTCTTCACCTGTCACGGGAGAGGCAACCGAAAAGGAGCCTGAGGTTTTTCTACCTTTGTGAACCTTTCTAGCAAAGAAACTTTTTTCCTTGTGGCAAAAGATGAATATCCAAACACATTGTCCACGTCTATTTTGTTAGGGAGGGCATGTTCTCTTCCGGAGGGCTAAGAGCTGGAATGGGATTGAAATGGATTCTCCAGAACACTTTGTCACACTTTTAAAGCCTAAAAACAAACATTTGCTTTCCTGATCATCTTCACTGTTTCTGTTTGGGAAATTGAGCGCATTCCTCTTCTATAATAAAGGTTAAGAACAGCCTGTGAGTTAGCAAAACTCCCAAAGGCTTAGGAAGCAAGTTACATTTCAATACCTACAGGAAGCATTTGCATGTATCTAAGCCTGGATTGTTCAAGGCCTTTGTGGGAGTCAGTGGTCAGGAATCTGTAGGAATGACTTTGTGAGGAATCATTGGAGGAGGGGCAGTACGCGGGATGGATCAGTATTTTCCCTGCACACCTAATGAAACACGTCGGAGCTCGCACCTACATGCGTGGGAACTGATAAGATGGAGATTGTGTCCGTTTCACTTGTTTGGGATGTCTGTGCTTTGAAAAAATTCTGTCGTCAAAGAGTAGGTTCCTTAGTTTGGCAAATCTGGCACCTGGAGATGGCATTTTGAATCGGACAACCTTTTTAGTAAGGGTCACTTGCTGTCGGATCATCCGAGGTGGTGCTGAGTCTTCATTTTGGTTCATCCAAATGGATATCATTTCAGTGTAGCTCCCTGACTAAATCAACAATGGAAAAAAAATCTCCCTTTAATATTTCTCAGGCGAACACACGACAGCCCACAGATTTCATTTTAGGCCACGTTAGGGCATCACCTCGTGGCCAGACGTAGCCTGGCCGAGAAGGCAGCAGAGCAGGCAGAGGGGCATAGGAAGCCAGAGCCCTGTGAGAGACATTGATGAGGAAATGGGCCACGTCCAAATATTTGTGTCACATTTTTGGGGAGCAGGTTTCATGTACCCATGGACACGGAGTCTGAAGTCACTCGTCTACGTGATTATCTGTGTGGCTTTGGACGAGCTGCTTTTGATCTCTGATAGCAAGTAGGCTTCTCTGTGAAAGGGAATGCTGTCCCTGGCTCATAGAGCTAGGTGAGGGTTAGACAATGCTTATAAAGCTCTCCGCCCAGAGTCTGGCGAATCGTAACCTCTCAATAAATGCTAGTCATTGTCGCCACTTGAATAGTCCTCCTTGGCTGCAACTCACTGAAAAAGCTGGGCAGTTTGCAGAGCTGAGGTCTTTGGAGTAGACATCTCGGCCGTCTTCTGCTGCTTCCCATCATTTTGGTGGAAGTTGGCGTGTTCGTTGGTTAGCACTGATTCCAAATGGAATTGTATTTCATTACAGAAGTATCACGGTGGAAGAATAGGGTGACTTACTGGTGCGGTCACCGAGCCAGGGAGGCCCATGAGCCTCATTCCTGTACAGGCTGCATTACTTTATGAACTAATGGAATTCGTGGCAAATGTGTCCCCTAAAAGATTGCTCTTGGACAGTGAGTAGGGAACACGTGGCCTTTTGGAGCAGTTTGCTTTCATTTGTGTTTCCAATCAGAGATTGAAGCTGTAGTTGTTTGTGAGGAATGGCTGTATCCCAGTCGCCGAGGTATCTGGAGATGACCTCTTCACCGTTCTGGGAGAGTGGTTATACACTCTACAGGGGGAGAGTTACTGGGAGACAGGGAAAGACAGGGCGTGGAGACGGCCATCCATTCCACCCGTGACATGAGGGCTCACCCCCTCATCTCCACCACAGCAGCTCTCTGATAAATGATTCTGTTCCCAGTGGTGTATTCACAGAGTCACTGGATAAGGTGGCTGGCTTTGCATTTGGGAAGTGGTTGCTTTACCCAACAGACACCAGATGAGGAACAATGGAAATAGGCAGGGTTTGAAGAGGTACATGTCTTTCCTTTTAGCCAAACTTGCTCACTTCAGATCACCTCTTTGTCCTGGGATTTTAGTCTTGGAAACACTGCTCGCCTTCAGAAGAGCTGTTCTCCTTCCCTGCCCTTGGTGTTCCAAGCCTAATCTAACTTCTAGGGTGTGTTCCTTTCATACCTCTACTTTTTGCATAAGTGGATTAATTCAGCCTTTGCTGTGCCATGTCCCTGTAAGAAAGCAATCTCAGAACATCTACTCTCTATCATTGAATATATAGATATGCCATGATATTGTGTCTATTTCTTATATATCTCACAGTTAAGTACTTTAAGACAGGAATCTAGTCTTTCTTTTAAATAAGCATGCATTTTAAAATAGAAAAACCTGAAAACAAAACCTTGTGTATCATGTGTCCCTGTATTATATTAGAGTACTAACCAATGCATTACAAATATCAATATGTGGGTGTTTTTTTTTTCTTTGCCATATATTGTTTATCAGAAACCTCTGTACCCTTTCCTTTAAAGAAGTCAATATTCATTTGTATTCTGTGCTGACAACTATAAATTGATGGCTAGCAGTTATCAAATGAATGTTGATGAAAAGCAGCTACTTAACATTTTCATCCCAACACAGAGTTTTGGAAGGATGGATAATTTAGATCTGAGGGCCTCAACTATAAATAAACAGCAACTGCTTTCTAAATCCCACCTTTCTGTAGTTGAAGATTGTGCTACAAATCTGACAAATGATTTTTGAAAGAGAATGATGAATCCTTATTACCAAGATACTCTTAACTTAATCCCAAACAAGAGTCCTGGGTAATTTTACATACACTATCAAGATTGATTGCACAGTTCTCCTCTGGCAGCTCACAAATGTTTGACTCGATAGGAAATGGCATTCGGGCGTGATTAAAGATTCTACTGGGCTTCCCAGAAATTCTCAGTCCTGTGTCGTCAACACCCTAACTCATTGCCATTGCTGCGGGATAGACACACCTCCCCCATTTCCCATGATTAGCTACCGTATACAATCTACAGATTTCTGATAAATGATTCTCAAAAAAAAAAAAAAAAATCTTTTAGGGGAACCCATAGCTCCAGCCAGTTGTATGTCAAGGTATTATTTTATCACGATGGATCAGTAAGCAATGGTGACAACTAGCAAGGCACTGCTTCAGGTATTTTATAACGGAGTTGTTAACGTTATTTCCTTTAGATGACTCTTTCATCTTTTCTGCATTATGAACTGATGCCCCCAAAACTGGTATGAAAGTCATCTGATGGTGATTAAAGTGCGCCTTAAAAACGTTTTTTTTAAAATCGGTTTAAAAATGCTTTCTCTTGTATCGGCAGTACCGGCTTGTTTACTCTTGAGATTTCACTAATGTGGCTCAGTCTTGTTCTGATGATATGCAGACCGAAAAGCTGATGAGCCAAAAATGAGAACTTGTTACTAAACTGTCGCCACATCTGATCATATAAAGATGTCACTCAGAGGTTGCCATTGGTACGGCTGAAAAGAGAATTCTCCAAGAGACCAAAGGGGTGGCGTGCATGGGATCAACAAGATATTGTTACTGCTTAATTAATTGTCCAGCAAGGGAGGAAAGTAGAGTGAGTACCCATCAGCACGAAGCATGAATCTGAGGAGGAGAATTTGCCAGAGGGAGACGATTGATTTTTGGAGTAGAGAAGGTGGTGTTTGCTGTCATATGCCCCTCCTGTGTACTGTGTTCTGCAAAGCCAGGGCCACTTGTGATGGAATTTAGATAGTAAATCACCCCAAGCCATCTCCTGATAGAAAGTTAGGTTTTTCCAAAAGGTATGACTCTCAGCATTGTAACCAAATATAGGTTGGCATGAAACAAAACCAGTTGTAATTGCCTTCAGATTCCATGGAAGGAAAAGGTAGGTCCCCAGCTCCCGCATCAACAGCATTCTGAATCAGTGGGACTGCAGAATTTCTTTGCAAAAATACCATTCCAGTAATGCAAAAGTGCAACATGATATCGTTACAGAAGGTCATAGTGGCAAAATATTTTATCAAGTTAGTAAGAATTCTGCATTTCGCTTTCCCAAGTGGACTGCTTTGGTTTTTCCTCACAATTGGCAGAACAGTGAAAGGCCAGTCTGTCATACGACTGAATGCTGAATAGTGTAACCATTGTGGCATAGGGGGCGGGAGGCTGGACTTGAAATGAGTAAGCTGGATTCTCCCACCACTCAGGAGTTAAGTCACTTGGCCACTCTGGTGGTTTTGGCAGCTGCAAAATAAAATGGAAATCTATGACAGATATCTGGAAGTTGATGCAAAACACCATCTCCACCAGAACTCTGCTAAGATTCCAGACCAAATTGCTATTTGGCTTGAGTTAGCTGGATGAGCATCTCAATTCTCCAGTTTGTCTGTAGAGGCACTTCTGCTTCCCTTTTCCCCACATGGGATGCAGTAGAGCCAGATAAACCACTTGAACTTGTTTTGATAAATGTGCCAGGTGCTAAGCTCAGGGTTATTAGGAATAATAATTCAGTGAAAGGAAATTTGGATGACATGAACTCATTTCCATTAGACTTGAGCCACACAAATCAATGGGAAAAGAAACAGCTGAATCCAGGATAGAATCCAGGATACTATCTGGCGATTTGGAGTGGGCATGGTAATGGAAGGAGATTGGGGAGGTAACAAACCAGTTGCTATTTAATTAAGTTCAAGTCAGGTCAAATTCAAGACCAATGGGGCTTGGCCAGTATCTTCAAGCACCCAGGTATTATCAAAACCCAAGTCTTTGTCTGACTCACGGGCCACACCTTTCCCAGAGATTTGACCAATTTTCAGACCAACTCAAATGTGACTACATACCCTGACACTGAAGAAGCTCAAACCAAACAACAAACCCAAGTCTTCTGTGTGGCATGTTCTTCACATCATAACACCTTTCTCAGGACCCTAATTCTCAGAATGGACCTGGCTTTCCCAGGGATCCTAGAATGCAAGCACAGTGATTGCAAACTAAACCATTTGAGGGAAACTCCTCCAGTAAGCACCCTTCATGGTCACAATGTAAAACCCTGCAGGGGCAGAAAATAAGATTTGGGTGGGGTCAGAAAGCCATTTCCCCCACAAAGTTCCTTACTGTTTGCCTAGTAGGGGCAACTTTATCTTTAGTTACCTTTTCCAGTCCTCTCTTGCAACCCCTCTCCCTATCAGCTGAAAATTAGTGGATGCAGTTAGAGCTGTGAAACACATAAATAATCATAAGATGCCAGATAAACTGTATTGGTTTTAAATTAGAGACGTGCCAACCATGTCTCCCTCTGAACAGCAGCCTATTATTTTTAATTATGGCTTGCAAAGCAAAGTGATTTCTTGCCCTCTTTACAGCATCCCTGACAGTATTGTCAGTTTGGATGATATGATATGCCCCATCAGTGCACACATCCCCAGCCACAGCCCCAACTGTTACTCAAAAGGTGAATGAAAGTGATCAGTTGCACTCTTTGCAACTTACATTCTGAAATGGGCTGAAAGAAATGTACACCCTTACCCATGATCCCATTGTAAATCTGGGACAAATACGACATTTAGAAAAAGGTTTTCACGGTATCCGGATGAATTAAGAAATGTGTTATGTATTTGTGCTAGGTATGGATGTACGGTGAGGAGTATGTGTATGTGTGTGCATTAAATGTTTTAACACAGCATTGCCCATCCTTCCCCTAGCAGCACTGTGGGCAAAGCATAAACGGATGATCTGGCACCAGCCCCAATTGGGTTTTCTCCCTGATGGACCATAATTAAGAGTGGTTGATTTGTCAGAAAATTCTTCAACTGATGTGGTATCGAATTACATTATAGATACATGGAGAAGTCGAGGGGTTGGGTGAATTTGTTCTTGCACGTTCAGAAGGTACCATCTTTTTCTCTGCGTGGAAGAGGCGCCTGCCACAACGAATTGATATGTATTTCTTTTCCAAGCCTGTTCCTATATGAGGTGTCAAAAGTCACACCAGCTTTACAAGCGGAGTTTATGAACTCGTTTTTCCAGGATACTCCCATTATGCTTTTTACAGTCATGTGCTTTCAGCCCAGTACCCTTCGCTATGCCAAGATCCAGCTGAAACTGAACCACATGGGGGAGGCTCACTACTGCCCAGGCAGTTGAAATGATGTCATTTCGTTGTTCCTTTTCTTACAACTTTGTCTGTCTTCTTGGATTTCCAGCAACAGGGAGCTGCCACCACCGTGTACTGTGCTGCTGCCCCAGAACTGGAGGGTCTGGGAGGGATGTATTTCAACAACTGCTGCCGCTGCATGCCCTCGCCAGAAGCACAGAGCGAAGAGACGGCCCGGGCCCTGTGGGCACTCAGTGAGAGGCTCATCCAAGAACGGCTTGGCAGCCAGTCCGGCTAAGAGGAGCTAGGAGTGGATGGGCGCAGATACCCGCCGTGTGTGTGTGTCCGCTCACGCAAGTGCCAGAGCTGGGCCCCTTCCAAATGTCCCTCCAACGCAGATCCGCAAGAGTGAAGGAAATAAGAGCAGTCACAACAGAGTGAAAAATGTTAAGTACCAATGGGAAGCAGGGAATTCCTGGGGTAAAGTATCACTTTTCTGGGGCTGGGCTAGGCCTAAGGTCTCTTTGCTTTCTGATGGTGGCCTGTTTGAAAGTATAAAACCTGGTTGGTGTGTAGGTTCCATATCTCCCTGGAGAAGCACCAGCAATTGTTTTTCTTTTACTGTTGAATAGCCTGAGGTCCCCTCGTCCCATCCAGCTATCACCACGGCCACCACTGCAGCCAGGGGCTGGCTTTCTCCTACTTAGGGAAGAAAAAGCAACTGTTCACTGCTCCTTGCTGCATTGATCCAGGAGATAATTGTTGCATTCATCCTGACTGAGCCTGAGCCAGTTTAGCAACTGCTGGGGAGACAAATCCCAGAACCCTGTCCCAGCGAGCCAGGATGGCGGTGACACCCAGACAGAGTAGAATACCCAGAGCTTCCAGGTGGCAAAGTACTTGTCACAGTCTCCCTCGCCACTGCTATACAAAAAATTCTTTAAAGATTATAACAAACTTTTCAAATCATTCCTTAGATACCTTGAGACTCAGGAAGGGAAGTGTGTGTACTTAAGAATACACGGGATCTTTTGGGGGGCAGAGAATAAAAAGTTAATCCCTTTGTCCGTCAGTCACAGTCTCCGTTCTCGTGCTTTCACATTCTACTTAAAGTTCCTGCTGTGACTCCCATCCTATGCTTAATAAAAGAACATGCTTGAATATGATCACCTGAAGTTTGTACTGTTTCTTTAAATGTTTCAGTTTTTTTGTTTTTGTTTTTTTTTAGAAAAGAAATCTAGAGGAAAAATAAAGCGCTTCTCATAGACGCCAGGAAAACACGATTCTTGTTTCTTCTCTGAGTTTGTGTTTTGTTTTTGTGCTTTGTGGCTGTCCGTGGGCCAAGTTGTCTCACGCGATTAGCATGCCAGCATTGTATTTTCTGTTAAAGAAAGAAAAGAAAAATGACTATTGTTTCATTTCACCTTAAGATGTTTTGTTATTACTTACAGTGAGTTATTTTAGTCCTCAATGGTCTGCTCCCCTGTAATTAGCAAGTACTTAGTGATTAGTGGGTATCTCTATGTTTGAGAATGGGAGCTGTGCAGAGGCTCTTCTCTGCACATCCCATCTCATAGACACCATGGTTTCCAGCCTGTTCCAGGAAGCACATGAGTCCACCTTGGCAAGACGGAGAGAATGCTTTTGCTGAAATACCAGGGAGGTGTGGAGGCTGGGTGTCATTGTTCCCCCTCCTGATAATGGCAGCTTCAGGCCATGTCATGAACTTCTGTGTCTTTGCATCTGTGGTGCACAGCAGTCAAACAAACACCATTGCTCTCCAGTGGCCCATAGCCTGGCCACATCCTCCCATCTGGCTATAGTCTCCCTTACGTAATCCTTATTACCACAGGACCTTTGAAACTATGAATCAGATAATGTCACTTTTCAGACATTATTGTCATTTGCAAAAGCAGCCATCAGAACTCCATTCCCAGTGTCTATACCTGGAGGGGATTACCCCTCCGATATGACCTCTGACTTTGGCCATGTGACTGGCCTTGGCCAATTTGGAAAGTGCTGTGCACTGCCGCTTGCCTTTCCTTGCTGCTCTTTGGAACCCTGCAACTTCCATCGTAGGAACAGCTCCAGGGCTACCCTGCTGGATGATGAGAGACATGTAGTGGCTCCCAGAACTGGCATCCAGCAGTTAGACATGTGAGTGAGGCCATCTCAGTCTATCCAGCCCCAGCTGTGCCAATTCAGAGAAGAAACTCCACAGTTAAGAAACTCCACAGTTAACTCACAGCACTGCAAAATATAGTAAACGTTTGTTATTTTCAGCCACTAAGTTTCACGATTACTTGTTACTCAGCAAAAGCTAACTGATACAGCTTCTTAGCACACTAAGTTTAATTTTTTTTTTACCCTAGTTCTCTTATAAAGTTCTCTTACAATTTGGTATCCAGCTACCTCGCTAATCTCAACTTCCAGCACTTTCTCCTCATCTACTGGAAGCCACTCTAGTCTTCCTGTGTTCCTCGAACATGCCAAGCACACTCCCAACTCAAGGGCTGCATATTTGCTGTTTCCTCTGCTGAAACCCTTTCTTTCCAGAAACCAGCATGCCTTTCTTCCTCACTGATTTTTGGTCTCTGCTCACATGTTATCCCTGTCTTCATAGTGTCATCCCATTCCCATTCCATTCTATTTTTTTTCCCACAACACTTAATATTATTGTACACATTATGTGTCTGTTTTCTCTGTCTAACCCCTATAAGAGACACTCCATGAAATTTGTCTGCTTTCTTCACAATTTGGCCACAGTACCTTGAACTGCTCCTGTCACATAGCAGACTTAATAACCACTGAAAGAATGATTCTTACTGACTAGGCTTTATGTTCATGAAAATAATTTCCATCATTGTGACAATGATCTCGAGCCACACAGTGTGCTAAGCAGGCTACAATATTACCACTGTCGCCCAGGCTGGAGTGCAATGGCACGATCTCTGCTCACTGCAACCTCCACCTCCCGGGTTCACACGCTTCTCCTGCCTCAGCCTACCAAATAACAGGGATTACAGTCACACACCATCACACCCGGCTAATTTTTTTGTATTTTTAGTAGAGTTGGGGTTTCACTATGTCGGCCAGACTGGTCTGGAACTCCTCACACCTCATGATCCGCCTGCCTCAGCCTCCCAAAGTGCTGGGATTACAGGCGTGAGCCACTGTACCTGGCTTTTTTTTTTTTTTTTTTTTCTGAGATGGAGTCTCACTTTGTTGCCCAGGCTAGAGTGCAGTGGCATGATCTCGGCTCACTGCAACCTCCGCCTCCCAGGTTCAGGTCAAGCAATTCTCCTGCCCCAGCCTTCAGAGTAGCTGGGATTATAGGTGCCCACCACCACACCTGGCTAATCTTTGTATTTTTAGTCAAGATGGGGTTTGACCACGTTGGCCAGGCTGGTCTCAAACTCCTGCCCTCAGGTGATCCACCCGCCTGAGCCTCCTGAAGTGCTGGGATTACAGGTGTGACCACCACGCCCAGCCATTACATCTGATTTCTAATATGACTACAGTCTTGCCAGTTCACACCTTCTATTTTACTGATGAAAAATCTGAGGCCAAGAAGTGTCATAATTTGCTGTTGTCCATACAGCTCACAAATTGACAGAGCAGCAGTTCACACCCAGGAGTGTTTGATTTCAAGGTCATGCAGATTCCCTGCACCATTGCCAATGCTCCTTCCGTAAGTCGAAAATATCCATTCTGGTAGGATGCACCATCTTTTTTTCTTTTAAATAGAGATGGGATCTTGCTATGTTGACCAGGCTAGTCTGGAACTCCTGGCCTCAAGCAATCTTCCCATTACAGGCATGAATCACTGTCCCTGGCCATGGATGCGCCGTCTTAATGTCTTAGCCTGATCAGAGAGCTGACTTTATGGGTCCGGCTGTAGCTATGCGTCAAGCATTTGGTGGAAGTGAAAGTTAAGCCAGGAGAAAGACACTGGCATATCATCAGCCAAGGTGCTGTGCAAAACATCAAAGAGAACCAAGAGAGGACATGCTGGCCCCCTGCCTCCTGACCCTGTCTAGGGCCTCTATGCTGACTTCCTCCTCTGTGGATCCTGCAGGGTTCACACCCGCAGGCTAACAAGATGAGGCCTGGGGGAACTTTTAAGGATAGATAAGGATTCTCCCAATCATATAGACCAAGTCTTCATACCAAGTGCTACATCCTGGAAATTCAAGATTTAAGGGAAACTCCTCCACAGCCTCTGCTATAAAGGAATTTACATCTTGCATCTGTAGGAATCCTCACAAAGCACAAGGTCCTCATCAACTTTATCAGAAGTTCTCTAGGTTACTTGAAGATGAACTGAGGCCCCGTAACAGTAGCCATTGCTGCCTTGTGCCCATTTCTCCCTGAACCCACTCAGTCAGACACTGTCAGTCCCCGTGGCCATTTTCTCTTGCCAGACACATCAATCTTATTTCCTTGGCTATTTCTGTGATAAATTCCTGACAGGCGAGCAAGTGGATGGCATAATTCCTATTATTCCTACTTTAGCTTATTCTATGGCCAACCCTATTTCTCACCCTTTGTCATATGTGCACATCTGTATATGTATGTATACATGTCATGTGCACATCTATATATGGACATGTATGCATGCACAAATATGTGTGCCACACATGTAAACCCATAGGCATTATAGATGTATAACATATATACAGCACATGTACATATGCACATATATGTATTGCATATATATGTGTATATTCACATATATGTATACAGATGGTCCTTAACTCATGATGGTTTAACTGAAGAGTTTTGAACTTTAAGATGATGTAAAACTGATACTCATTCAGTAGAAACTGTGCTTTGAGTACCCATATAGCGATTGTTTCTTACTTTCAGTATGGCATTCAATAAATTACATGAGATATTCAACCCTCTAATAAAACATGCTGAGTGTTCAATGGTTGTGTTAAACGCCTTTGTCCAACTCCAGGTAAACTTAAGTTTTCTGAGCACATTTAAGGTAGGCTGGGCTAAGCTATGCTGTTCAGTACATTAGGTGTATTAAATGCATTTTTGAGTTATGATATTTTCAACTTACGATGGGTTTATTAAGCGGTAACCCCATTATAAGTTGAGAAGCACCTGTGTACATGTATGTGTGTATTTGTAGTATATGATTTATATAATAATGTTCCTACTCTATCATGTGCTGCTTCTTTTTTTTTTTTTTTTTTGCGATGGAGTCTCGCTCTGTCGCCCAGGCTGGAGTGCAGTGGCACGATCTTGGCTCACTGCCACATCCACCTCTGGGGTTCAAGCGATTCTCCTGCCTCAGCCTCCCAAGTAGCTGGGATTACAGGCACCTGCCACCATGCCTGGTTAATTTTTATATTTTTAGGACAGACAAGGTTTTGCCATGTTGGCCAGGCTGGTCTTGAACTCCTGCCCTCAGGTGATCCACCCGTCTGGGCATCCCAGACTGCTGGGATTATAGACATGAGCCACCGCACCCGGCATCATATGCTACTTTTAATTGCAGATGCTATTTACTCAGCATCTACTCTGTGCCAGTTGATGGGTTAGGCAAATCATTTTATGCTCACAGGACGAAAGTGAGTTTTAGAGAAAGAAAGTAACTCTCCACAGTCTCATAGCTGGTAGATAGCAGAGTCAGGATGTGAGCCAGCTCCATCTGCCTTGACGCCCATGGGCCTTCCACTACACACTACTTTTTTGTGTGGCCTATAGACCAGCAGCATATATACATTACATTTATATAATGGGTGAATTATCTGCAAGGGAAGACCAGTTGATTGGCTCTCCTCCTGATACCGAAATGTCTAGTATAAACCTTACAAATCATTTTTGTCCATGCCACTTATCCAGCAATATTGGCTTCAGCCTTGCCTACATTTCCCATACGCCCTCTTCTCCTGTTCTGATTTTAAGTAGGTCTGCACCTTCTCGTGGAGTGAACCTCCCGAGTTATTCACACTCACCCGATGCTGCAGAATCCACCCAGACAGGAAGAGTGGGCCAGCTTCTCTGCAGTTGTTTTCTTCCAAGTCCCTCTCTCTCCCTAAGTTTCTTTCAACCCCAAGGGCGGCCAGTTTCCACTTTCACACCTGATTAAAGGAGACCTTTCTGCAACTTACCAATAGGAAACAAGAAATTGAAGCATCCCCCAGCAATGACTGAAGACTGTGGCTTGCGGTTTTGCTTTTTAAAATGGGGTTATGAGTGGTTTTGTTTTGAACTTCAATGAAGGAGGCCTGATGACTTTCATCAAGGTCAACAGTAGGCCAGAAAGACTTGGCTTGCAATATCCCTGCCCATTCTGGTCACCAGCAGGCACCGTTTTTAGAAGCTTATGTAAAAAAAGAAAAAAAAAAATCTAAAACAGCAATA